GCAGCCGGCCGGACTCCAGCGCGGCCGCAGCACCATCCAGCCCCCGGTGGCCACCGCAGCTTTTTCGGTGGCTCCCGCTGCAGCCTGAGAGCCAGAGACCCACGGCCGCCTTTGCAGGCAGCATGTCAGCCCCGCCGGACCCCCAGGACCTGCTGCTGGCGGGCACTGGGGGGCACTGGGCTGCGGACGGGGCGGACCAATATGCAGCTGGTGCTCCGCTGCGGGATGGAGATGGGGCTCAGCAGCGGGAACAGCTGGTTTTCGGCTCCGCCAGGGAACACCCGCCAGTTGCCATGGCGACTGCATCCCCAGGTAAAAGGCGAGGGGTACCCAGGGATGCTCAACAAAGGCCCTGGCGGCAGCATCTCCTGGTTGTCTCGTCCCCGTCCCTTCCCCGGTTCATCTCCCAGCCTGGCTGCTTGGAAACATTACTAACGAGTTAGCGAGTGCATGTGGGAGAACAGAAAATAATGAGCAATCACGGCCTTTGCAAATAATCATTTTTGCTGATGTGGGGGAGGGTGGACGCAGGACACAGCCAAGTTCCCCAAAGCTCTTTGCAGTTTGCGAAGCACAGGACATCCGGATTTCAGTCAAATGTTAGAGGGCATTTCATTTCAGCTGATTTGATGGGGCTCTGTCCTCATTTGTCGAACACCTGTACACGTATGGAGTGGCAGATCTCAGAGGAGTTACTTCAGCTATTTCCCTTGCACCTGGAATTCCTGCATGGCCCCTTATGTTATTTCAAGATGTAGCTTTTAATGGAGTGCCTATTCTGAAGTGTTTATATATTTTCTGCATGCTTTTGAGACACATCCATTTAATCATGGACTTTTTGGTTGCTGTGTTTTCTTCCTTTTGCTTTTTAGGTGTATTTGACTTAAGGTACATTTAGGTTAGCTAGGGTCTGCAGGTTCCTTGATTTTCAGTTTACTTTTGGGATATATTTGATTTCTCTTGGTTTAGGGTTCCTTACTTGCATGTATTAGTAGCAGGTGTATATCTATTAATGAACCTCAGAAGGCTTCAGCTTCCAGTAGCTCCTGGTAGAAATGTTTGGGGGAAAATGACTCTATTTCCTTCTTGGTGACACTTCCCTACTTTCTTTCCCATTACTGCCCATCAGAGAACCCAAATAACCAAATAACCCAGCCCTGGGGGAGCTGGTGGATGCCATATAGATTCCTCTTCACTGGGAAGTAGATGTTTCCATTATACAGCCTGACAGCATTAAACTTGTCTTGAGTAAGTTGAGGGTTAGGGCTTGGGATGGGAATCAGTCTCCATTATGCAATAGCTGCAGGAGCATTAGGAACTGCATTTTTGGGCTGAGTCCCTTCTAATCCCCTCCAGTCAATCAGCACAAAGGGTAGCTGGCCAGAAACAACACAGTCTGCGTGACTACATGTATTATTCCATTGATACCCATCTGCATGGTTTTTTCAGAGTCTGAGTGTGCATCTGTGCATGTGTGTGCTCTCAATATGGATGTTTCCCTGGTGCTTTTCTGTCTGCTTGATGCTACTGAGTTCAGTAGTAAAATGGGATCTAACGCCCATTGGCTTATGTGGGAAATGTTTTGTTGTTCTGCAGCTTTGGGCAGGCAGCTAATCTGCTGATGTGCTGCTCATTCGCTGATCTGAGTAGTAGGTTGTGAAACGTGATTTTTTACTGGAGAGGGAGGCAGATGGCTTGTAATGTAAGGCTGTTCTAGGTGTGGGGGGCGTGTGTGTGAAGAGGGGCAGGATTGGGGTCTCCAGGTAGCATTGACTCAACAGCTTAATGACCTGAAGAAGGGGGAAAGGATCTTGTGAGCTTCTGTTGTTCACTAATGGATAAAAATATGGTCATGCTGAATCTGAGCATCCAGAACAAAGAGGAGTGGTCTCTTAAATTGTGTAAATCCCTGTTAAGTTGAATGACTGTCTGATACTGATACTGCTTACATTTAATGAAGGCTTCTTCAGGCTTAACCTGATCTGTAGATTCAGGCTAATAGAATGCAGAATAGACAGAATGAGTGAAAGAAAAAAAGAAGGAAAGAAAGAAGAAAAAAAAGAAGAAAGAAAAGGAAAAAGAGAAGCAAAGAAAATAATTTTTGGCTTTTGGAATCCTCTGCAAAGGGGCCTTAGACATGTTTGTTTGCATATGTCAAACTGTGACAAGGTAGAGATAAAGTGAACCATACAGACCTTTTTTGGTGTTTGCTAGCTGTAGATTGACAGACTGTCAAATTAGTAATATCATAAGAGTAGCAGCGTGTTTTAAACATTTCCCATTTTGTTCCCCCTGTTTAATAAAGTAACTGTGATGTGGTTTTGTGTATGTCTAGCCGACCATGGCAGACAGAGCAGCATCCCAACTGGTGCAGTCCTGCGCACACAGTCTTCTTTTCTGTTTGTGGCTGCAGCACCTGTATTTCTGTTCCACATTATGCAGGGATGCTGGTAATGTGGAACAGAAATACAGTTCCACAGCTGCAGCTCCCGCTCCCTTCAGCGGGGGAAGTAAATAATTTCCCTGTTCTCTCTGTGTGAACAAATATTCCTAAATTGCTGAATAAGAGGTCTGTCATATTGCTGAATATCTAAAACTGTCAAGTACTTCAGAAAAATCTTTAATTCTTCTGCTCAGAGGGGGATTCCTGCGTGTTCCTAAGCTGTAGGAATGGACCCAGCAGGAGGTATCTAGCTCCAGCAACTTACAACACTGCCCATAAACAGCCATAAACTTACAACACTCCCTATACAATGAGGCACCTGGGGACACTTTAGCCAAGAAACAGTGCATCCAAACAAGAATGAACTGGGTGGTATGTTTTCACGATAGTTGCCCTACACATCCCATATCGTCCTCCACACCTCTCAGACCAGTCTTTTTTGTGAAAAACATGGTTATGCTCTTTGAGGCACGAGAAGGGTTTGGAGACTGAAAGATTCTCCCAGCATGAAAACAACTGAAAATAAATAGTGGGATTTTATCACAAGTTGTACAGAAGTTTTCTTACACAACCTAAAAATTTGCAAACTTTCTGTGATCTCGGCTTTTGTTTTAAGTTTGAAAACCAGCCAGGGATTGTTGAAAGGTTCAGGAACACTTTCAGGCTGGCCATGGGCCCGGCTTTGAGCCAAACTGGCTTTGTGTCAAAACCTTGTGAGTGGTTTCTGAATGATGAAAAGCAATGGATTTTACTTCCCGTTCTTCAGATCGACCAAAATCGGCAATGATTGGGACTGCAGAAAAAAATTCCCACGAGGAGTGGAAAGCTCAGAGATTTCTCAAGCAAAGTCAAAGCAATCAGGAGCTGCAGATCCCACATCTGCTTCTCCTCCTGCAGAGCTACAAATGAAGATCGACTCCACTAGCTTCTGGGCAGAGACAAAGCAGTTTCTCTTGCTTTTGTACTTGGGCCCCGGGTTTTGCTGAAAATGATTCTCTCCCTCAAATAGAGAGTTTCTCTCCTTCCCAAAGATGAATTTGGTTCAGGGTGAGAGGAGCTTGCAGGCAGGTCTTGCAAGGACTGGAGAGTGAAGCAGTCCTGAAAGGCTGGTGAGCAATTGCGTGTTAGCGAAGAGAGCCCCATGTCACCCAACACACCATCTGGTCACAGATTCTGTTATTTATTTTTATACATCAACAGTGATTAAAATTCCTTGAAAAGAATTATTTTCAAAAATATTACACAGACTACCAGGCATTCCCGAGGATGAATACATATAGTTTCCTTTAGAGAAATGGCAAAATGTAAGAATGGACTGTACCTCCATGGTGCAGGTGTGTTTAGGGGGAAAAAGAGGGGGAAAAGGGCAGGAGCTCATTCAAATGGTGATTCCTGTGTCAGGATCTGGGAAGTTGTATGCAGCTTGTGCACTGGTGGATACCTGCAGGGTGATTTGCAGGCAGCAGTGAAATGTCCATACGTCCATGTAGCTGAGGTTGAGGGCTGCCAATGAGCCCTGCCTGCTGCTACTCACGCCAGGGTGCTCTTTGCCTTCAGACTGCA